ATACTTGTTGTTTTTGTATTATTTTTATTTAATTCTGAATCAATATCCACTTTTTCATAATAATTATTTGAAAATGATGGTTGTGGGGGATTCTTTAATATATCTTTAAATACATATGCTTCTAAATAATATTTTAATCCATTAATAATATCTTCATTTTCTTCTTCTGTTGTTTCAATTGATTCAATACATTCAAATGCACTGTCAACTGTATCGATTTCTGATTTAATATATCCAATACACGGTTTTGATAATGCAAAATTAATAAATAGAAGTATAAAGTAGATCATTTTAATTAATATACTTTTCTTAGTTTATGTTTAAACACTCATTTATCCTATCATTCATTTACCCTATTTCTTGATTTAGTATCATTAAATTATTACCCTCACTTAATTCCTCTTTCTTTTATTTTATTTTCTTCTTTTATTTTCCTATCGCATTCATTTTCATTTTTATTAACATTACATTTAATATATTTTCATGTTTTTTATTCTTAATTTAAATTAAACATCATTCATTATTTCAAATATTTTTAAATATAAATTAATTCTTAAATGTTATCACATTGATTTAATTTATTATTTTATCGAATGATAAATTAGAAATATTTATAAAAAAAATTACATATTTATATTTACCCCTTTTTTATTTGTTTGTTGTTATTGTTAAAAATTGTAAGAAATGTTTTATAATTAAATATTCATTTTTTTATATTAAAACAATAATATTATTTTTAATAAATTCTAATTTCTTTTTATTTCAATTAATGTATTGATTATTTTATTAATTGTATTTAATAAATATTTCAATCAAATTAATTTCATTTTGTTTATTTGTTGATAATTTTAATGAATATAATAATACGTTATTTCATCATTTTTATTTATGATTAATATGTTGCTTATTTTATTTTACTTATATTCTTATCTGTTTTATCATCAACTCTCATTTTTACTGTTCTTTCATTATTTATTTATTATGAAGAAAATAATTAAATAATGATAAAAAGAATATGAATGAATTAAAATGAATAAATTAATACAAAATAATTTAATGAAATAAATTAGATATAATGAAATAAAAACATAGAAATTAAGAAGAGAAAGAATAAAAGTATATTAAAATTATCATATTTATATTAATTGAATAAATACAATCAATATAAATAATAATTATCATTTAATTTATTTATTATCATTATTTTATATCTTATTTTCTATTAAAAATATAAAATTATAATGAATATTATTAAATATTTTAAATAATTCATTATAATGATATTATTGTTATTATAAAAGATATATTTTACATTTAATCATTTATTTATCTATTATTTATTTATTATTTTATTTCTTCATAATTATAATTTTATTCTTTCATTATTTTATTTGTTATTACACAAAATAACTTCAACATTTAATTAACTTTAAATATTTATAATGTTAAAATGAAATTATAAATAATAAAAACATAATAATAAATTATGAAGAAATTTTATGAACAAAAATGATAATAAAGAATAAAATACAAAACGTTAATGATGAAAGTTTAAATTATATGTTAATCATGAAATAATGAATAAATTATAAAATATAAATAATAACAATAGATTAATTTGTTTATTTAATTACATTTAAATATTTAT